AAAACTAACCACGTACGGGTCGGTCTACGAAGAACGAACTAACTTAAGTTAGTTAGTATATATATATATATATATATATATATATATATATATATATATATCTTTAGTTAGAGATAGACTTAATTCAGTTTATATAGAGGATGATAACTTGTATTTAGCTCCTTCATTTCACTCTAAAACTTCAATAACAAATCTTTATAAGTTTCTTAGTCAATCACCTAATCATTTTGTAAGTAGCTTTAATATCTTTCAAGGGTACCACGTACTTGTTTTACTCCTAGATGTCACTGACACAAATACCATCAATATTAAAAATTTTGGAACTCGCTTTTCCCTGCCAAACTGAGTGAATTTTCTAAGTCAAATAGTTAGCTTGGAAGAACTTTCTGAGTTTTTCAGAGTTCTGTTTGAAGATTTTCAAAAGAACAAGCCTCTAATGGCAATTGAACCCAGCCTGTCACGTTAGAAGCCGGGTCTTAAATTTGCGTGTTTCTCTTTCCTAAGCACTCGAAAGAACAAAGCACTTCTTTACTTGCACTAGAGAAAAGAGTGAAAAACAAAGCTTTGCTAGCTATCGAGCTGAGAGCAAAGCACTTGTTTACTAGCACAATATAATATAGTTAAAAGCACTTCTTTGCTAAGAACTCGAGGAAAGCAAAGCGTTCATTCAACAATGCTATGGCACTGAAAGATACCATTTATAAGCGAAAATAACATAGAGATCTATATAAAAGGAAAAACTCCAACATGTCCCAGATTTTTCATTTATAAAGCTCTCCAAATTGACAAATTGAGTTGACTTGGGCTAGTTAATTGTTGGATGAATGCCTAGTACAAGGTTTTTATAAACATCATCAAGAACGTTCCTACATTTTAAGAAAAGTCTGTATCCCAGTGTTTATATTACCAGACCAATATATCTTAGATATCAAGATGACCTATCAGTAGTTTACTATTTCCTTGTTTTTATATATGAAGATTGACACATGCACACATATAACTACATACATATCTGCATGTGTGCTGGAGAGAGAAAGAGGGAAAGAAGGGGGGGGAGAAGAGACTGAGAGAGAGTCCTTTTATAGTTTTTAAGATGTGCTCATCGTTTCACATTTTTAATGTATTAATATTTGTTTAAATAGTCAAATAAACTTACTACTTATCTCTTGAAAAATTATTAACAAGAAAGAAAAAATCTACCAAGAAATTGATTTGTTTTAGTTTATTCTCATGGATTTGGGGTTCTATGTTTTGTAACATTCAGTTTTTTATTGTTTAATTTATCGTCATTGAAAACATCCCTTCTTCCCTTCAGCCCTTGACAACCGGCATATGCTTGCAGTTCAAAGTTGTTACCATTCACTTGATATGAATTGTAATTTCATAAACAACTCTTTATGTTTTCTGGATTTTACTTGATTTTTCTTTTCCTTTTTTTTTTAAAATCTCAGCATGAAGAGATTTTCCTTGCTTAACATTCAATTGCACTTTTCTCTGTTGCTTACTTTCCTCTTGCAGCTCTGGGACTTGCATATGGACTCATCTCCTATTTCAACATTCAAGATTCATGAGTATCTTAGTCCAAAGGTATGGTTTATGCCTTCGGATATTCAATTGTTAATTAATGTACTTAAGCCAGTGTTGTGGTGGTAGAATAAATTTTCTGTGAAGTTTACAATATGTAGCATCTGTTGCCCACAATATTTAGCGTCAGACTGAGAAATTCACAGAAATTTGTGGGTGAGGTAACAGAATGAAGAATAAATCCAGATGCAGATTGCATCTTATAAACTAATTGATAAATCATAGCTCGAGTTTTCTTGTGTGATTTCTTGATTGTAGGCATCTTGCTTTCGTAATCAACTAGTCTTTCCCAATCTTATTGCAATTCTGCTTGAGGAGTTGTGAATGGTGTGATCTTTTGATTGTCCAATGGATTGATAATACTTCCCCTGAAGAAATAAAACCTGTTACAGCCATATAGAAGGTTTGGATTCTTAATGTTTTTGCAAAAGAACTCTGCATTATCCAATGTTATATACCATAACTATCATCAGTAACCAATAACATTAAAAAATTGACTAAAATCGCAAGCATCAAGTTAATGCATAGCTGAAGTACTTGTCAGCAACTGCCTATTCTCTTTAATGTACAAAATCTTTACTAACTCGAGCCAGACTACAAGAAACTTTGACTTACACTGCTTGAGGCTTTGTACGTGAAGAACATTAGTAAAAAGAGAAAACTAACGTAAACATATACCAGACATTCGGAGTTAGACTAAATCTTATGGTATTATGTGTGTTTGCAATTATTTCTGTTGGAAAGGATCACAGGTTTGTCTTGTTGTTCTGATGATGCTTGAAACATTCCTGTTATAAGCTTTGGATATTGATAAGGGTGAACCTTGAAGCTCATGGAGGGTTCTGTGAGGCTGTGATAATGGTGCTACTTGTGGCATCAATGACCTTTTTGTTGTGCCATGTGATGGAGTGACTGGAGAGGATGTGAAGTGTGTGATTCTAATGGACAATTGGTTGCTTCCTTTCCAAAATTCTATGGTACTGCTTGCATTATTTCAGAGACCTACCTGGTGGTTATTTGACTTTATGTGGAGATCAGTGCCCCACTTGTGAGCATTCGAACAATGAACTACAATGATTTTGTACATTAAAGATGTCAGCAGCTTCAAGAACTGCAATGAACTGAACAATTTGCAGGTTCAGAGGGAATGTGGTTGCGGGGTTACATCACCTGAGCAGATTTTTTTTTCTGGGTTAATAGTTCTCGTCCACTAGGTGATTTTTGGGAAGGTAAAGGTGGGTTCCTTATTTTCGCAGGAGCTCTGTTTTTTCTTTTTAAATGGGTGGGACTGTAAAAATCATCTACAGGTTAATGGTTTTTATCAAACAAGTGATGCTTGCTAGTTGGCATGGATTCCTTTTACAAAGCATCTATGACATCCTGCAATTGTCAAGTATCATGACATCCTGCACAAGTGAAGTTCTGTGAACAAGGAATAAAAAGTTCACTGAATCTATGTAATTCTAGTGTACCTGATAATATGGTCAATTAGTACCATTTTAGATGCTGTGGGTGCTAGACAAACTAATCAGCAGCCATGCAACATGAAAGCTTGTGACCGAGGATTTCTCTAGTTATTTAAGTGATCTGGAAAGATGTAATATACTGCATAGGGCATATTGTTGCTCTTTTTCTAGCTATGGTCATTCTTGTTTTATTTATATCTCTTATGATTGGATGTAGTTGACGGGTTACGATATGAATTTTGCAGTTATCTGAATTATATAACAACGACTTGATATTTGACAAATTCGAATGCTGCCTTAGTCAGGATGGCCTTCATTTCGCAACCGGGTCTTACAGGTTCATATTTGTGCATGTCTTGCAAGTCTGCATTTAATTTCTTCAAGATCTAAGGGCACTTGAGAAGGGCAGGGTGGGGATCCTCGGGTTCCAGCATTATATTGTTAGTTATAATGATTCTGATATGCTTTCACATTGATAGCAATCTTTTTCAAGTTTACTCTCATGGCTCTGGACGTGAGGAAAGAACAATCTTGGAAGCTTGCAGAAACCCCAACAGGTTGTGATAGGAGCTTTTAGTTCAGTATGATACCAACTATAACTGGAATTGCTTCCTTCACCACTGATTTTTTTCTTCTTATTATCAATTTTCTTCAGGAAATCTTGTATTCCACTAGCAAATCAGTTCTTTAGTCCCTTTTGTTTTTAGACCTGGTGGCCTAAATATAGTCATAAAACTAGTGTTTTCTCTTAAATCCTATGAAGGTCTTTCTTTTACTAAACAAAAATAAAAGGAAACTGCTTCTATTGATGCAAATTTTGACAAAATTTAGCTGTTGGCTGTAATATTGCTTCATGCTACCTTTGCTTCCTTAATTGAACATGAAATGTTGCTAAATCTTCTGGACATAACACTTGATGAGAAAAAAATGCCCAATTTTTTCAGATCCTGGTTGGAACTTGGAAGTCACTAGTCACAACCACCTCTTCTCTATGAGTTTAACACAACTTCCTCGCTTAATCAAGAATTGTCTTTTATTTGAGTTTGCATGTTTATTGAACTTAATTACATAGGAATTTTGATTTTACTTTTTAATCGGATCTGTAATAAATTCCATTTCTACTATGCCTTTTATGAATTCTAGGAAGCCGCTTCTCCCAAAGAGCACGAAATCTGTGCGATCATTCGCCAGCCTTACACGTGGTTATGGAAAACGAGGTTATAATACTTACTCTCTCCTGTTCTCCTCTGCTAGCTCTTTTTAGACCTCACAGCCAACTTTATATTTGTTCTTTCTCCTTATTTATCACACTGTCACCAATTGCGTGGTTAGATTAGCTAGTTAAATTCGGAACTTTGGGACTCTATCTCTGGTTATCAAGGAACATGTTTTCTGTTAAATTTCTTTTATCTAGATAATTTTGTTTCCTATTGAAAAGGACACAGAAGAAGAAAATGCATTTCCAGCCTCAAATGAACCATTTTTTTCTTTTACTTTCAGGACATGAAGCCTCAATCTTTGATATAAATGGAGATCCATGCGACCTAACCATGAAGCTACTCCATCTGGCATGGCACCCCACTTCTAATCTTATAGCCTGTGCCTCTGCAAATAGCTTGTACATGTATTACGCATAGCTTCTACTTCCTGCTAAGTTTGCTGTCAGATTAAATTGGCATTGTTCGTTATGAGCACTCATGGGATAACGGATAACCAAATTCAGCCTTCAATTTCTGTGGAATAACTGGAGAATCATCAAAGCCTGCCATTGTTTTCAACAGAAATGGTAGTATGTGTGATACCCAAATCTAAGCTTTAACCATTTTGGGGAGAGCATTGGCAATTGATATCCTTGGCTGCCATTGTAAAAGTAACGTTGGGTTTTTCAATTTCAGGATACCAGAAGGAATGTGGGTTTTCTCACACCGTGGTGATTTTGATATTCTCAAAGTGTATATATGTTTGCAGTATTTTCTTTGTTTGAAGTCATCTAACATACCATTCTTTGGTTCACCATGTACTAAGTGGAACTGGTGAACTCTGGTTGATGGCATTATTGATGGGGTACTCACTTTCGACGTGGTTGGTACATAGGCATCAGAGGTCGGTTTTGTATATATAGCTCATCTAGCATGATGTTTGGAAGGGAATAGGGAAACCTTGGTTTTCTGTTTGTGCTTTGTACTTCAATGTGATACATTGACATAAAATCTATGATTGTTATAGAAATAAATGTACTTTCCTTTTCTATTGGATTACATTCTTTGTTCTTGTTTTCCGGCACCAGGGTGAAGAACTAGTACAATCTTGAAGCTCTGATTCATAATCAAAAGGGAAGATAAGCAGTAAGACTGTGAGCATTAAATTACAAATGTCCGAGGTTCAATTCTCTGATAGCTTATTTAAAAAGGTATGATGAATCCATGATGCTTTAATATTGAAAAGGAATCTGACATATTAGATAATATCCAGTAATGTGACACGCCTTTTGCTTGAGATGGGCCTCCATCAACAATAAATCTGCACTGTCGAATCTGAACCAGATGGAGATTGAGACTATCGGGTGACCTGCTAAATCCGGTTAAAACACCCCCTAGGCAGAGAAACGAGATATATTGCCTTTGTCGTTTCTCTCCCTCTATCTGATCTTCAGCATATGTGCCCCTACGCTATGGTGATACACGTTTCAACCTAAAGAAATCCATTTCTTTCCATTTGAATTTAATATGATAAAAGAGGTATTTACTCCGTTGCTTGTGTTTGACATACACAAGATTAGTCCATCTATTCTTACAATATTATATTAACTTGTAGAATCTGATTAAGAATGGTTCCTACAAGTGGATGGAAAACAACACCTGTGGGATGTTACAAATTAAGTTTTGATGGCAACTCCCTAAGGAATCCAGGCTTGGCAGGTGTGAGGGGCATCTTGAGAGACTCTGAAGGTAATGTTGTGTTCGCCTATGCTGGTCCGTGTGGAAGGCTTGGCAGGTGTGGGGGGCCGTCTTAAGAGACTCTGAAAGTAATGTTGCGTTCTCTTATGCTGGTCCATGTGAAAATGCTACTGCAAATCAGGCATAACTTAATTCCTTGTGCAAGGTCTTAAGCTTGATCAAAGCTGGCGAGGGAGGAGCCATAATAGTCGAGGGAGATTCGTTGAATGCGATGAAGTGGTGTACTAGGGAATTTAAGGTACCATGGATGTTAAAGGACTGTGTGGTTGGATATTTGCCCAATGATGAATGTATCCTTTGCTCATGTATATCGAGAATCAAATCAGATGGCATATGCTTAGGTGAAATATAGATCTGGTTTACCAAATATTGTTGTCTCTGAGATCTTGTTGATTAATTTATAAATTTGCTTTATCTTCTTACTATCAATAAAAAAAATTTAACATTGTCAAAAAGAAAGGACAAAAAAAAAAGTGAGTTCATCTATTCTCTGTTTTCTTATTTACAAAAGGTTTGTATTTTATGAAGGGTTGCAATTTGCATAAGGTGTCGACCTAAATAATCAAAGTAAGGTGCACCTCCAAACTTTATCTAAAGATTCAATTTTGGTACCGGAAATTCCTAAAATAGATGGTTCACATTTGACTTATAAAATTTAAAATTCCACAAATAGTGGAGATCACATAGATTTATAAGCACTTGAAAATCATGAAAATGGACGGTACAGATAATGTTTTAATAGTGTTTCAAAAAACGTTGGGCGGTGGCTCGACGACCGGGGTTTCAGACCGCCCAGCGCTCAGGCAGTGCCCAAAACCTAAGCGGCCCAGCAAAAAGACAAATGTCTTTATAGTCTAAGAGTATAAGTATAATTGTATAACACATAAAAGTTAGGGAATTTAGGGCACATCAAATGTATAGTACATAAGTCCACGTAGCTTAGACTCCTCCATACTCTATAAGCCCACAGTTTGATAGTCCACTAAATCTAATATCGATGGGTGATATTTAGATAAATTTCGTGTAACTTTGATAAACCCTTCGATCCTATGCAAATTACCGAAGACTTTTTTTTTTTTGGTTCTCTCCCTCTAAAAAAGGCTCTAATGGGGTTAGGTTTGAAATGAACCTAAACCCATAATTTTGCATTTTTAGTATTAAAAAAAAACAAAAATTTTGCCTATAATTTTGCCCAGGGCCTAGGCAGGGCGCACGCCCTGGGTGCCCGCCTAGGCGGTTTCCTAGCACCCAAGCATAGCTAGCCTAATTTAGCTGCCTAGGCCTGGGCGAGGTACCCAAGCCTTGTGGACCGCCTAGTCGGCCGCCTAGGCGCTGAGAGGTCTGTTTTTTAAAACGCAAGATGTATTATTGTTATGACTTGAAATCCTTTGTTTTATAACTATAGATTTTAATATCGAGATGATCAATTAGAGGATTTTCTAAACTTTAAAAAGGTTTTCTAGAGCTTTTCCATCAAGACGAGGTCTTTGGTTTTAATGATTTTATTTGGGGGTGAATTAGGACCGGAGGGCTAGGGCCTTGGCCGGGCCAGCCCGACCCTAACCAACCTGTAATACACGCATTGTAACTATAACGGTGGTGGGGTTGTGCACCGAAGTGCCTACATCCTACCCATACTTAACAAGGAGGGGAATAATAAAAATTGGCAGACCAAAAACATCGGTAATAAATTGATTTTATTTTAAAAGTTATAAAAAAAATTGATTTTAAAAGTTATAAAAAAAATTGAGTAAAATATACGGATCACCAAAAAAATAAGGTAAGTTATAAAATCATGAATATTTCAGATTTGGTTAAAAAATCATAGTAAAAAAATCAGATATGTAAAGATGACACAATATAGGATTATGATTTGCAACTATTGTATAGATATATTAAAGCCATTAAATGATAATTTTATGGCCTTACTAGTGTCATTAGAGTAATACTTGACAATTTTTTGTTGAAACTTTCAATAAATCCAACAATGCTTACTCCGTTGCAACAAAACAAAACATATCGTAGATTTATTGGGAATATAAACTGAAACAACAATAACAATACTAAACACAAGAACTAACTAGCAAATAACAAGAACTATGAACCCAAGATATAAGAATATTTTTAAAAATAAAAAATTAAAACACCCTTAATATATGATTGCAATTAATTTAAAGAAAACACAAAGGCCCAAATATGTAAAATAGTGGTCAATCCAAAATGCTATATTGTAGACACTAATAAAATTAAAAATTAAACATTTTAAAAATAAAAATAAACATAAAATAAAATAAAAACATAAAAAATAAAATTAATCAAACTTCTCTCTATATAAAAAAAAAAAGCAATAAAATGCTTAGTCAAATTTGAATCTCGTATTGAATTCCTAGCAACCTAAATCTTTAGTATCATTTAGTCTCTCTCTTGCTCTTTATAAGGATGCTATGGATTTAAAGAAAAAAAAAAAAAATATTTTTCATTGGGTTACTCTTTTTCTAATTCTACCTATTATTTTGAGATAGGAAAAGTATATAATAGAA